TCTCTCTCTCTCTCTCTCTCTCTCTCTCTCTCTCTCTCTCTCTCTCTCTCTCTCTCTCTCTCTCTCTCTCTCTCTCTCTCTCTCTCTCTCTCTCTCTTTCTATCTCTCTCCCTCTCTCTCGCTCTCTCTCTCTCCCTCTCTCTCTCCCTCTCTCTCCCTCTCTCTCTCTCTCTCTCTCTCTCTCTCTCTCTCTCTCTCTCTCTCTCTCACAAGGTTGTATTCCCTATCTTGCTCCCAATGATTGTACCATTTATCGACGCGATTAGCCTAAACCGTACAACAACACAGTGAGTTAGAGATCTAGCCAGTTCAACTAGCCGGAGAGAGGCTGGTTCGAGCCAGGCCCCTGTGCCTGTTTTGACTCTGCTGACGCCGTCGACCACTGCGAGATGGAAATGAGTATTCCGTGACTCGATGAATTCTACTGCGTATTCCCATGAAGTATAGCAAAGGCACCGAGCGGCTAGCCGTCCGTGTCGACCGGACTTTGAAGGGCTAGGGCTAATATGTAAGAGTGTAGGAGCGATAAACGAGGGGCAAGGTTGCCGAGTTATAGTGTCGCGGAGTGACTCCGCCGAGGTGTTCAGAAGAAACACAGAGTTATGGTTTCGCGGAGTGGCTCCGCCGAGAGTATAAACATTAGGAACTTATCCCTCAACTGAAGCACAAACCGGACCACCCACAACACCGAGTCGACAGACCGGCAGAGGTGCGTACAACCGTTGTTTCCTTTGAGCATGGGCGAAATTGTCCGCACTGTGGCAGTGCGCACGCGAGAGATAGAGGTGGCCGATGGAAGCGTAGAGTTGTTATGCGGAGTGGCTCCGCCGAGAGTATTATCATTTAGGACTTTATCCCTCAACTGAAGCACAACCGGACCACCCACAACACCGAGTCGACAGACCGGCAGAGGTGCGTACAACCGTTGTTTCCTTTGAGCTTGGGCGAAATTATCCGCACTGTGGCAGTGCGCGCGAGCGAGAGAGAGGTAGTCAATGGAAATGTATGCACTGTGGCAGTGCACGCGATTGAAGAGCAGGCAGTGGCCGGGAGCGCATGAGAAACGTAGCTTCAATGGAAGAGAGTAATAACGTAAATGGGGTCAGAAGGACACCCAGTGCCAATTTGCTTAGGATTCAGGGATTTAAAGGGGTTAACACCTCCTTACACGCACATAAGTATCAAACAGGGCATAAACTCACCTCGGGATATAACTATGCCAATTCAGCGCCATTGGAGGGATTAGATGGAAACGGGAGGGTCGGTTTGTCTAGCCGAATGTTCTTCGTAGGTGTATGTATGCATGACCAATCAATGATGCGTGTGCGACCGAAAGGGAGTAATGAATGGCTATATTAAGGACCAGTGGGAGCTAGACACTCACGCTCGAATTGCATAAATTCCTCTGATGGGATAGAGCCCTTGGCATCGAACGGATACGAAATGGGAACATGGGAAGGCCTTGCCCTGGGGTTTAAAGCCAAGCAATTCCATCAGCCGGTGACAAATCCCATCCCTTCCAAATTGAACCCATTCCTCCCCGAGCAGTGAAGACTATATGTTGTAAGGAAATTGCAAGCCTCTCAAATAAATTTGTACTGCACGACGACGGAGCCAGTGCCATGTGGGAATCAGACGGGCGTTGAAGAGGAGACGATACACCTGCCCATCCGGTGTCGTCCTCCGAGGCGGACGATCACACCGCTTACAGCCACACGTCACTCACACGGCACACGTGCACCGCCAAGCCGCCCAGCAGCACCGTTACACTAGCTGCAGTTTAAAACGTTTTCGCTTTATTACAGTGGAATCCGCTTTATAAATCCACCTTGGTGACAAGGGGTTTTGGATTTATTACCCCGGCACCGCCTGGGCTATTTCCGTACCTACCCACGACAGCCTGGGGGGGGGGGGGGGGGTGGGGTCGGATCCGACCCCCCCCCCTGTTATATCGAGAACCAATGGTCGTACCGAGCCCCGCGAGGCGGCGTTCGAAAGGTCTCTACGAGACCTTCCCAAAGCACTCTTAAGATTTTTAGATTGAGGTCAACTTTCGGGTCAATGTCAGGTCAAAGGTCAAATTCTGGGGTTTTGCATGATTAGGCTTACGGACAGCGGAATCGATAGCTGCTGCTTGAAACTCACCAAAAATGACCTCAAAGGCCTAGTGAAGGTACCATGTGCGTATAGGGGTCATACCAAGTACGGGTCAAGGTCAGGTCAGGTCACGAAAGGTCACGCTTTTCACTTTCTTCTACATGGGCGTGCGACACATGTTTTATGGCTTATTTTTCACGCCGAATCCGATGGTAATGGTTATGTGTGACCCCAAGTCACTGTGCTGGTGATAAGTGTGCATTGAAAGCATAAAAAATCGTTTATACCATACATAACTAAACGAGGGCTATGAAAATAGGTCAATTTTTCAACTTTTTATTTTTGACATAAAAAAGCACTTTTCTAGACGAGCTTTGTCCCAGGAATCTAGTGGTGCCATTTGTTTTCACATACGAGGTTCAGAAGTGCCTCTAATTCACGAAAATGCTTATGACGTCACCATGCCCTATGCATGTTTGAGCTATTTTTTACAGTTTGGGGGTCAAAAATCAAGATAGAAAGTTGAAATTTTGGACATCTTATCTTCTAATAGAGCTCTATAACATATATTCCGTTTTTTGGAATTTCTCATAATTTTGGATTCTATTAGCCGTTTTCCAAAAAATATAGTTTTTTGAATTTTTAGGGGTGAAAAACGCATTTTATGGAAAATCCGAGATAGCCACTTTAACCCGCGCCGTGCTGGGGGGGCGTTTTTACGCCCCCCCCCTCAGGTTTTTCGCGAATATCTCAAAAACGGCGGCGCGCAGCGCCGCCGTTTTTGGTACACGTGTTCCTACATCATTTCCGCACATGTTGTGAAAATTTCAGACCTAGGCCGTTCAAGGTCAGGTCACCAGGTCACGTCAAGTTACCTTACCTCAGAAAAAGTTCAAAGGCTTGCTATAGCTACACCGACTGAACGATCACTTTGAAACTTTCAGCGATTGATATGAGTAACAGTATGTATAAAATGTGCGACCTCTCCATTATAAGTAAATTATAATTCATAATATAGATGGGAGAAAATTGAAATGCGCCTCTTTTGGACGAATGTCGTTCAAAACGCTCTCAAACATCGGTTCATAGGTAAACATGACACACTGAATCGGAAAAATGCACCTGTGACCCGTCTGTATGCCCCTGAGGTCATCTCAGGTCATGAACGGTCGCCAGCAGTTTTTTGGCTACAACTTTTGATAGAGACGTGCTAGAGCGGTGAAAACACGTCATATGTGTTCAGCTCGACGATACGGATCGACTGATATGCAACATGACCCTTCTCGGTCAGGTCATGACCTTGACCTTAGGTCAAATTTTCAAAATGGCCTTTTAAGGTCAATAAATAGTTCATTCGACGCGTCTCGACGAGAGGAACATGATGCTGGCAAAAGTAATGTCGTGGCTCTCTTGAGTCAAAAGTTATTGCCGAAAAACAGTTTTCGTGGAAAACGGCTATTTTTACAGTTTTTGCCCTCTGGAGGCTAAACCGTTGACCTGAGGTCAAATCTGAGAACACTCTACATAAATGGCGGTAAAAGGGCTATCGAATGCGCTTTTCCGCGGCGCTGTAGCTCTATTGGTTCCCGCCCAGCCAGCCTTCCCAAATGGGGCCCATATGGGCCCCAAGTGGGCAGCAAACTGGGGCCCATCTGGGCTGCCCACTTGGGGCCCAGATGTGTTTGTCATGGGCGTCCAACTGGGTCCCATATGGGCAGCCCAGATGGGCCCGATATGGGGCCCAGCCGGGGCACATATGGGTCCCACATGGGCTTTCCCAGCCGGGACCCACATGGGTATAATTGAAAAATCCCACATGGGGCCCATGTGGGTTCGAAATGGGACCCATATGGGGCCCAGCCGGGGCACATATGGGTCCCACATGGGCTTTCCCAGCCGGGACCCACATGGGTATAATTGCAAAATCCCACATGGGGCCCATGTGGGTTCGAAATGGGACCCATATGGGGCCCAGCCGGGGCACATATGGGTCCCACATGGGCTTTCCCAGCCGGGACCCACATGGGTATAAGCGAAAAATCCCACATGGGGCTCATGTGGGTTCGAAATGGGACCCATATGGGGCCCAGCCGGGACACATATGGGTCCCACATGGGCTTTCCCAGCCGGGACCCACATGGATATAAGCGAAAAATCCCACATGGGGCCCATGTGGGTTCGAAATGGGACCCAAATGGCGCCCAGCCGGGGCACATATGGGTCCCACATGGGCTTTCCCAGCCGGGACCCACATGGGTATAAGCGAAAAATCCCACATGGGGCCCATATGGGATCGACATGGGACCCATATGGGGCCCAGCCGGGTCCCATATGGGCTTTCCCAGCCGGGACCCAAATGGGTATAAGCGAAAAATCCCACCTGGAGCCCATGTGGGTTCGGAATGGGACCCAGCTGGGACCCATACCCAGCCAACATTATTACCTTGGCCCCACATGGGGCCCAGGTGGGCCACTTGGTGGGACCCATGTGGGCAGTCCATGTGGGGCCCACATAAATTTGTCCCTGGGTAAATGGTGGGGCCCACCTGGGCTGGCCCACGTGGGCTCAAGGTGGGTACCATATGGGGCCCACCTGGGCTGGCCCACATGGGCTCAAGATGGGTACCATATGTGGCCCACCTGGGCTGGCCCACATGGGCTCAAGGTGGGTACCATATGGGGTCCACGTGGGCCAGCAGATGTGGGCCCTAGGTGGGCCCCATGCTGGCTCACACCTCCCTAGCATCGTTTGTATTAATCAATAAATATTCACCAAAGCCCATCTTAGTTCCCACCAGAACCTACAATTAATTTCAATATGATTATAATATAATCGATGTCTGCTATTTCAATCACTCCCCCTGATCATTGCTGAACGTTCGCCACCGCAACAAAACAAACTGTCAGTGATCAATATTTATATTATCGATAAACACAAAAATGCTGTTTAAACTCTCTGCTCTCTTCTGCTCATCTCTAGACTTCTTCTCTCATCTGCTCCTCCGCTTAAACTCCAGCTGGTCTCCTCTCCTGGCGGCCTCCGTCGCGGTTCCTGGCACCCGTAAACCACTTTCGTGGCGCCACCTCCAGCTGGCCGTTGTTGGTGTCCTGGGTAAGCCCGTTCCGCCGCACGGCTCCTGTAAAATAAGCACCAGCAATGTAAAATGTGCAGACACATAAGCGAATTGTGTATTGCCCGTGCTGTGATCTACCATGATTCTGTATTACCTGCATTAAAAGTAACATCATCTGATTTGACTTGAATAATTGAGAAATGAACTTTAATTTTTTTGCAGGAAATAATATGATGCAGAATAAACATACAAGGTCCGATTATGATGTACACAAAGGACATTAGTGCTTTATAAGTCGGCTGCTTGGAATTCGCTAATCGGACAGTAATTGACGACACCTGAAATAACATATGAATGGGAGTGCTGCTGTTATTCTGACATCCGCTATCAGTTGTCTAAGGGACTTGGGCAATTAAATAAAGAGATATAAAACCATTACTTACTGAACACGACATCAAAAAGCCGGGTACCGCCGAAAGCCCTTTTCCCGTGCCGTCCATTTACGCTTAGTCGCGTAGCGAGTGCGCTCGTCATGACGCCTGCTATCGTCCTTCGGACCGGTGTAAGCGGGGGCGCTTACACCGAGGTCGGCGACAAACAGCCACCCGGAGTATCTGTCCACTGCCACGAGGTTGAGGTACTTCCTGCCGGCTCGATCGGCAAAGTCGATGTGTAGTTCGAACGGCCTTTCCGCTGGCGGTCTCCTCATCATGGTTTCTTGCTGCTGATCGGGTAGATCTCTCTGGCAGCTGGTACAGCAGCGGGTGACATTTTCCACATCCCGGTAGATCCCGGGCCAGTAGACGATCTGTCTTGCGCGGGCCTTCGTCTTCTCCTTCCCCAGGTGGCTAGAGTGGAGGGCTTCTAGAACAGTCCTTCGTAATCGCTGTGGTATGACGAGCCTGCAGCCGACCCGGCCTGACCGACTGGACATCTCCACCGACCGCAGTGACGCCTTCTACCTCTGGAAGGAGAGATGGGACGACTACGTCCTGATGTCACAGCTGCGACTCGACCAACTCAGTTGGTGACATACCAGGGAAATAAGCTAAAATTAGAGCGCTCTATTTATTGCTCCTGCCCCATGTTGAAGAGATACCCCTAAAAGCGTGATCTTTTATCGGCCCTTACGCAGCAAGGCAGTACTTCTCAGACCGGTGGATGGTATCAATAGAAAGAGAATGCGTCAAAGATTAACATGAATTAATTAAAATAACATTAAAATGTTAATTAAGCGTGGAAATAAGTCCCAAACATAAGCTAATTATTGCTCCTACCTCGGCGACGGCGCTCCCCGCAGTCGGCGGAGAAGCTAAAATAAAAGCCACTATCCTCCTCCGTAAGTCAATTTTAGAGCGGCCGAGTGGACCGATGCGGGGCCACCAAACTGAGATAAGACGTGGCTAGCAATTGCAAACCGCCATAGAAATCAATATCTTAAGACGTACAATATGGGATATTTACTCTGAAGCTGGAGTGAAAGCATGAGTAGATTGCAAGAAACGAAATGCATAGATTGGTTGAATTATGCTCAATAGATGAAGCCATTTCTATGATGTTGACATTTGACATAACCCTTCCTCTCCTCACCTATGACCTAAGCGCATTGGCAGTTGCCGGCATAGTTTTTGAGCACGAGTGTAATTCGCCATCGGACCGCAATGCATGTTGCTAGGCTGCTGCAATTACAACGAACATACGAATACTGCCTTCTTTTGTAGACGCTCGTTTTTTAGGCGGTCTTTGACGTACAAGGGGGCATACCTGTCGACAACTTGAGTTTCTCCGAATTTCAAAAACTCCCAGAATTTCAATTCCTAATGCACTGTTGTAGGTTCAGCTATGTTCACAAGTTTTCGTTTCCTCCTGTTCTAAAAAGGATGATATTTGTCGATTTCGTGCGTCGCTGATAGGAGGGTGCGTTTAATAATTAGGCCCAACGCTTTCTGCCTCCGCGAGTATCTTCAAAAGGGAACAACAGTTTCCATTTATTACATTATGGGACATGTGACAAAATGACCACTGGAACACGCATGAAACGGAGCTCATATTTCTAAAAATGTCTACAATCACTTCTTTTCTGACACTATTAGCAAATACCATCTCAAGTTAGGTGGTTGACAGACAGTCAATGGAGATCTGGGGAGACTGAGTGATGCCAATTCACCACTTAACTGATGAGGGCCGAGGGGAGAGAAACATGCAACATGCACAACTGACAACTTGACAAGTGACAAAACACTACCACTATTGCGCAGTGCACAACAAATTACAGCAGCCAGCCCAAAAATGCTTTTGGTGGCTAATTGCAAAACAAGTCACTAATAAATGTCTTAGTTACAGCTGAACACTGCACAATGATCACACTGTTCACGCATTGAGTGAGATGCCACAGGTGGTTTGAATCACACTTTGGTACAACTGCAAATCTCAAGTGTTGTCATGAGGCTCATGCCTCCATGATCACAGCACTTTGGTTGTGGTTGGCAATTGGCATAACACTTGTAGTCTGCAGAGTTCCACATGAACTGCAGACACCTCATCTGGTGGTCTTCATGTTGCTCAACTTCTTCAGGAGGCAAATGTCGACCACCCAGCGGAAGCATGGTCCTGCAGAAAAGAAAGGTATGTAATGCATAAGGTACAAACATTATCTGCTGAAACAGCCCCTTCTGTTGGCTGTTATTAAACTTTTAACATAACATAACAACATGTATTCCATGTATATTACATTTGTTGAAGTAAAATACTGCCGGCTATTTCAAAACCAGAAAATGAAATTATATTGTGGCATAATTCACATGCTCAGCTATCAGTATCAAATAATAACTTAATTTAAAATTTAGCATATTCTATAAAACACATTCATAGAATATTCTACTTCACGTCACAAGGACTCACAATCTTTCTGTTGGGTATTTGATTGACGCATTAACTAAGTTTGCCTTAGGTTTTATTGTTGCAAAAAATTCATATTGCATTATTGTATCAAAATACTGCCAGCAATAACAAAACAAGAACATGAAATGTCAAGGAGCAAGCCGCCTTTCCTAAAAATGGGTTACTTTGAAAAGAATTTTAGTTTCTTTTAAGGAAAAGAAGAAATGATTATCAGGTAATTATCAGAAAACCACTCAACCAGCAAGTGGCTGGGTGGTTTCACAGCAAACATCAAGCCAAAACATATATTTACATTTATTTAACAATTGAGCCATTTGACTACTACAAGGATATGTGAGCAAAATAAGCATCTAATTATCCAATGTTGACTTCCTTGCAAAGTTTATGCCTTATTTTATGAAAATGTGTCACTAGAATATGATACTTATCATCGAATATTATTTAATCTACGATTTATTTCGATCGAAACGCATATGGAGTCCCGCGCCATTTTCGTCGACGATGAATATGATCGTGTTTCATGAAGAGATAAGGGGTTTCAATGGTCTTTCAAAGCAATAATTTGATGCAAAATTTGATAGGAAATAATATAAAGCTGGTTCAAATGGCCATCGACCATTCAAAACACCGAAAATACTCACAACTCCGCCCCAACGACCACGCAGCACCGCGCACGCCACACAACTGGCACAATTGCCAAAACTGCTGTCACAGCAGAAATGTTTTTTTTTTCTCGATTGCAATTGTGGAATTATTTATTAAACAGAAGATGATCTTTCCGAAAAAGCGACTGATTTTATACACAGATGCATGGAAAATTAAAAAATCCCGGTAAGTTTATTTGTATTGTTTTGTCGATTTTGACATGCTCCTAGTTTGCGGCCATATTTCGATAAGTTCTACAGGGAGTTCAGAATTATTTCAGGACCAATCTTTTCCTCGTTCATTTTCCCGTCGATCATGAAATTTGTAGAGCGGAACAATTAGTTTCCAGGCGGTCCGAGCGGTTTTCGTGAGAAGGGTGCAAAAATCGGCGTCATTTTTAGAGCCTCGACAGCAGCTCAACACAGGACCCTATGGGAGACGGTGAAGTAGCGGAAGCAATAAATAGAGCGCTCTAATTTTAGCTTATTTCCCTGGTGTGTCACCGACTGAACTAGCGATACAGCTGGCGTCGCTGCGGGCGCGCCTCTCCGAAGAGACTCGAACGCGGTCGTGGTTGCGGCGCGGCCGCCACGGCTACGCATTCCTGCTTCCTTTCACTTTCGTTCATCGCACTTTGTACTCACTATGGGCGGGTTCGAGCTAATACCGACCGCGCCATGTGTCGGTTCCGCCCGAATTAAGGCTTTATTGGACACGCACACCACTCAGAGTCTCAACGCCAACTGGCCCGCCCAGACGCCGCAGCCCCGCCAGCCGGTCGGCCGGTCACCGCCCCGGGCGGTGCAGAGGCGGCCCCAGGCCCCGTCCGGTGGGCCGAGCTCCGCCGGCGGATCGCCCGCGCAGGGGCGGGCTCAGGCGACACAATCATACGACACAATCACAACATTGACTGTCCAATATCAGCCGTAGCTGGTCTCACAAACATCAACTATGCGACTTCCTCACGACGTCGAAGTGTATTTTGGAGGCATGAGACTAAACAGCGAGTTCTTTTTTCTTGTAATATCATACACATTGGACAGTGAAAAAATAAATAATGGGCTGCCCACATCCAGCCCACCTACACCCCACAACATGGGCTGCCCACGCAGTGCCCATGTTAAGCCCACCATACAGGAACACCGCGTGAATGCCTGTGTTCACCAAAATTCCTGGATATGCCCTCGTACATGTGCAAGCAATTTCATTATCAAGCATTATGCCTGCCAAAAAATATGTGGGCAGCCCATGTGGGGCCCACATGCAGCCCACATATTTGCCCATCTCTAGCCCATGGCCCACCTAGCCCACCATGCCCATCAACTGCCCATGTGGGGCCCACATGGGCATGCTGGCTGGGGTTTGCCCATTTGGGCCCCACGTGGGCCCCGGATGGGTGTGCCCAGTTTGTTGGTGCCCAGTCTGCCCACATGCTGCCCGCATCCAGCCCAGATAGGTGTCGGGTCAGTTAACAAAGTTTTGTAGTAAGGTTTGCCCATTTGGGCCCCATGTGGGCCCCGGATGGGTGTGCCCAGCTTGTTGGTGCCCAGTCTGCACACATGCTGCCCGCATCCAGCCCAGATAGGTGTCGGGTCAGTTAACAAAGTGTAGTAAAGTTTGCCCATTTGGGCCCCATGTGGGCCCCGGATGGGTGTGCCCAGCTTGTTGGTGCCCAGTTTGCCCACATGCTGCCTGCATCCAGCCCAGATAGGTGCCGGGTCAGTTAACAAAATTTTGTAATAAAGGAAATGTTCATATCCCAGCTAGCATGCCCACATGGTTCCCATATGGGGCCCACATGCCCCCCACCTCTTCCATATGGGCCCACATGGGAATGGCAGTGGGTGCCACGTGGGACCCATATGGGCCAGCCCACGTAGGCCCATATGGGACCCACGCGGCGCCCACATGGGACCCATATGGGCCAGCCTACATTGACCCCATATGGCAACATGCATGAATTTGATATACTTGGAGTCCAAAATACACATGAACAACAGCCACCTTTTTTGCTATTATGCACTTGGAGTAACTTAAATGGGATGGGGCCCACATGGGTGATCCATATGGGACCCACACGGGATGCCCATCTCCAGCCCACATGCGCTTGGCCCACCTGGCCCATTTTTATCCCATATGGGGCCCATATGGGTAGCCCATCTGTAGCCCATGTCCCACGTGGGCCCATCTGGCCCATGTTCACCCCATATGGGACCCATGTGGGCATGTTTGCTGGGCAGATAGGTGTAAGTGTCGGGTCAGTTAACAATTAGTTTTGTAGTAACTTTTGCCCATGTGGGCCCCGGATGGGTGTGCCCAGCTTGTTGGTGCCCAGTCTGCCCACATGCTGCCCGCATCCAGCCCAGATAGGTGTCGGGTCAGTTAACAAAGTTTTGTAGTAAATTTTGCCCATGTGGGCGGCTGGGCCCCATGTGGGCCCCGGCTGGGTGTGCCCAGCGTGTTGGTGTC